AATTCACTAAGGTGTCTAAACACACCAAAATGTGTCACTCATCTGGTTTAATTTATTTGATATATTAATACTACCATTACAGAGAAAACTGGTCTCTGGACATACAACTGTAGAATTAATTAGTTTACCTCACGTCAATACTGCACATGGAAACCAATGACTTGCTGGTTTACATACTAAAGCCAAGCAAACAAACAAAAAAAAACATTTTTTTAGTACCTTTTTCATTTTTTTTAAACAATAAAATCCTTAGCAAATAGCTGTCTTTTGTACTGTATAAAGAAGAATGTGAACACAAATGTGATGGCAACCTTTTGAAGTCAATTAAAAACTTTACACTGGACTGTACAAGATATTATGATAAAACTATTTACATTTTTTAGAATTAAAACTTTGTTTTTTCCAAAAGCAGCAACAGATACTAATCTATATCTCTAATATCGCCCACACAATAATACCTGCCATGAATCTATGTACCTGCTGAGAAACCGGTCTCACACTCACACACACACTCACATACACCCAAACAAAGACAAAATGAAAGTGTTATTAGGCTGCTAGCGACAGAGACACACACACAGTGTTGCTTGAGAGACTACAGAAATCTAAAAGCAAAGTACCATTGACAACAGCCCTGACAGCAACATTTTACTCTTCTGAACAGCAGCTAGCATGTCAGTCCAGCATGTCAGTGAATTGTGCTGATTAAATTAACAAAAACTATCCCACAATATACATCACAAAAGTCCATACCAAAATAAAAAGCATTACAGTAAGATAAGTAGAAACACCCAAGCTTTGTCCTCAGTTATTTGCATTAAATGGCAGTGACAGTTATGTATTATAAAAGAAATGGCATTTAGACTTGCTGTTGACTGGATGGGAAATGTCTATTAAACACTATGAAGCGAAATACTGTATGAAAACCTCAAATGCACAGAGTGGGTCTGCGTTGTGCAGCACAAACAAAAACTCATAAATATTTGCACATCCCCAATGGATCACAGAGAACTCACATACCTTTTTTTTCATTAGATGATGCTGTACTGTAAGAAACACCATAATAACATGTTCTCTCGTTCAAATTTGGCACCAATTATCTTATAACTTCAGCAAGTACCTCAGCATTTAGAAAACAAATTGTGAAAAAAGAAAAACAGGAAAACAAATCACGCATTTCAAGATTTGTCCTTTGCTACAGAGTGCATTAACAACATAGCAAATGGCTGGTTAATTCAGCATGGAGTGCGAGGTTCATCGATGAAACACACAGACGTGTGTATCAGCTTTGTCTCCAATACTACTCAGTCAACAGGGAGGTACAGTGCTCAGCGTAATTAAGTACACCCCGTTTTGAAAACGAATATTTTTATCCATTTCTCAGTGAATATAGGCAATGTATTTTTGTGCATTTAAACAAAACAGATTTATTAAACAAATATATTTATCAAAGCAATATTTTAGTCACCAAACGTATTTAGAAATCAGGAGATAATACAATTAAATTCAAAATTTCAACAAATTCTTTTACTTTTTTTTGCTTCTCTTGATTTTTCCTCTTTTTTAATTTTGTATTTAATATTTTTCTATTACATAAATTTGGGTGTAGTAGTTTTTGGATCGTTATCATAAGTTATTTTGTTAGATAAGCTCCAGATTTGGCTTCAGTACTGACTAATCTAATGTATATGCACAAATATAACATTGTATAGCTTCCTATTAAAAATAGAAGTTAGATTTGTAAGGGGTGTGCTTATATATGCTGAGCACTGTAGTTGAATTCAGCAACTACATGAGGTACAGTGAATTGTCAGTTTGTGATTTCATTCTTGTGACTTTCTCAAAAAAAAAAATCATACACACAAAGAAAACAACATAAAAAAGTCAAATACATAATTTATACTTCAGCAAGTATCCGTGAACAAAAATAGAATTCTATTTTCCTATGTTATATTTACAATGAAGAGATCTGTAATGAGATGGAGATTTAAAAAAAATAAAAAGAAAAGAAACTTTGTTTTGAGCTCCAATCCATTTTGAAATTTCACTTTTTATTCTTGTTCTCTGATTGTCCTTTAATTCTGTTCTACTGACACTTTTAGAGCCAATGCTGGCTAATAAATACAATAAAATGTCTATATGCACTAGAGAGCTTCAAATACAATATACAACACAAACATACATGACCATTAAAATGTGCTACTGAAGTCCGGTGTGTCTCAGTTGGCCAGTCGCTACACGAGCCTCTCCGTCGAGTATTTACTGCTCTTTCTCCCCTAGGCAGCACTGGAGCTTAAACAAAGTGTTCATTCATCACGTGTCTTTGCATAAATAAACAAAATATGTCAAGAGAAAAATGACTCAAATCTGGCAACTGTGAGGCACGCTCACATGAGTCCAAACAGGTGACTTGTTCATGAAGGTTTTCTTTTTTTTTCTTTTTTTTGTCTCGCACAACGGCTTCACATTAGTCAGAATTGATAAAAATACCATTTATATCCAGTGCTTGTAACACTTTTGAATCATTGTCTCCATGTGAGATTGAAATTGTCTCTTTTTTTTTCCTTTTTCTTTTGTTTTTTAATCTATACAAGCGCAATCAAGTTTCAGTCCCAACAACAGTCCTTTTGTCTGCTACCAGCCTACAGAACTGGCTTGGCATGGTCAAGGAAATATGTACAAATCACGTACAAATCAACCAATCCACCAGCAAACAGATATAACAGCTTTAAACAATAAACGTTGGCTTGTAAGCAGGGAAACAAAAAAATAAAATAAAATAAAAAACATACACAGATGCCAAGGGACACCCAGCCAAGTATTGTACCTTATGTAAAAAATAAAAATAAATCACAACAAACTAAAACAAAACCAATGAAGTAAAAGGTACAAATACAAGCTTCTAAAGAAGTGCTCGAAACTTCCACAGATGAAGTAAATGCTTTTCAAAAAGGGGCCCTGAATAGAGTCAAATGCTGGGAGAAGTAAGCGCTAAATAGCCATCGGTACCTTTTAGACCTTTGGAGGTAGGTAATGCAGTGACCAGCGGCCTCGCTCTGACATATCCTGTCTTTTCTAATCTCTGGGTTAGCCATGAAACAGACAGGTTCAAGGGCAAAGGCAAAATAGCGGGACTCATGCATTAATAATGGCGTATTTCAGATGATACCGACTCGTCAGTCATTTTAATAATCCCCCACAGCTTGATCTACTTGTTCCATCTGCTCGCTAGCACCTCGTGGCTGCTTCTGGCCGCGGCCTTTCGCGAGCGCTTTGATGGAGAGAGGCCACAATAAACCACATGGGCCTCGACTCCATTGTTCGCTACCTTTCTCCTGGGCACGGGCCGATGCCGGGAGCCAGATGGCAGCCCCTTGAGGCTGGGCAGAGGTCAGGTGAGTGGAGGTGAATGGCACTCGCACTCTGTAGGAGCTTTCGGTAGGGCCAAAGCCTAAAACACGAGGCCTTGACCGCTGGCTGCTTTTTGGCTGTCCTTCCGCATCAAAACAGCCTGAGATTCTGAACGGCTGGATAATTTAGTAGAGCTGCAGGACTGCCTATCTGAATACAAAGGAGCAAATGGTGTGGATTTTTTTTCTTGTTATGATTTGTCATTTCGTTTTTTCCAAGTGCTGAAAAATATCCAATCCGACGATTTGAAAAATGGCAAGTCTGTCTTTGTGCGTTTTCAAATCTATTCATTTCAGAATATGCATGTAAATAAAACCAAAGTACCTCCAATTTAAGTATCCTTAAGCAGTCAATTTGAAAAATAAGTGCCGTTATTAGTTTAGGGGGTTTTCTCCTTAACCCATTGCAAAATGTAAAGTTAAGACTTAAAGATAAACACATTTAAGACTATTTTCTGTCAGTTAAGATTACAATGTCTACAAGACTTGAGTGTGAATAAAAGACTTTAAACTTTTGGCCCTGTAAAACAGGACTAAAGGCTTTAGCAGAACGTACATACGGTACAACAGCAATTTGTGATTGTAATACACCAAAGCTGCCTTTTGCTGCCTGTCCAATTCTGCAGATTGGATGCCATTTGGCCCCTTGGCATTCTGGCCTGATTACAATCACTGTGATTAAGAAGCGAGCGGGTAAGACCGAGGATGGTGGTCGGGCGATCACTGCATCAAACCTCCTAGAAAACTATGACACTCTTAGTTCCTGAGCATTCGAACGTGCTAGGAAGGGGGGGAAAAAGTGGACTTTGTAGATAAGATTGCAAGGATTGTCTAAGACTCATGCAGTCTCTCCCTTAAGACTTTCAAATTAAGATTTAAGAGCTGGAAGAAGCTTATGATATGTTTGGCACATCTGGACATTTAAATGTAAATAATAATAATAATAATAATAAAATAATAATAACAGCAACAATAACAACAATAATAACAATAATGGGGAGTTTTAGGCGTTCCCTCTATGGTTCAGCAAATGTAAGGACTTCTTCAGTTTTATCGTATTATGAAATGTCAAATGACGTGTCGTTGTCTTTTTCATTTTAAATAGTTCTGATTCAAAACATTCACACGCTGTTGGCTGGTACAGCATACCTGAGTGAGATATAGAACCCCATCAAAAACAGTAATGTACGCTTCAAACGAAAAATTCTAATACATGTGTAAATCCATATGAATTTAAGTAAGACTGTGAGTTATGCATTCATATGAAATGTTTCAATCGTCAAGTCCTATTATTCAAAAACGTTGTAGGAAATACCCTAAATTGTCCATGAACAAAACACAAGAAAACGAAAAAATAAAATAACAATAAAAAAAAAAGCCAAAATAAAACACAATCAAATTGTTTCACACTCGGAGAAACACTTAAGACCAATAGCTGTTAAATCTGCAGGAGCCACATCTGCATGCTGGCTCCCAAAACGTACATCATCAGAAACAAGTTTTTCTTTTTTCGTGTTTTTTTTTTGTTCGCCGTGTTCTCTTTTCATCTTCTTCAGTCTTTCCTCTAATAAAAGGATATTCTTCGCCTGCTGTTTAGCCTCAGTTGGCACTGACCGGCTCATGTGTGTCATTCTCACTGCTGTAGTCCGATTTGGGCTCGTCCTCAAAGTCCTCGTACATGTCCATCTCGTCCTCTCCGTTCACTGCGTCGCTGGGCACCATGGTACCCGGTTCCATCTTCATGTTGAAGGTGCTCTGGATGACGGGGATGGTGGGTTCAGGGCTGGCCGAGGCACTGGAGCAGTCTGACGTCATGTGCGGGGATGGCGTTGTGGTGGCCATGGTTATGGCACCCGGGTACACAACGCCTGCGCTGGTGGTGATGGGGATCTGCGTCTGTGGCTGCTGCCTGATACAGAGGTGAAAAAAGGACAGATTTATACTTAAGCATAAACAAGTGTGCCTTTTTACTTTTTGAAAAGCTCAGAGACGCTTAAAAGCTTTTAAGAGTCGGATGACAAGTTTAACGCTTCTCAAGGAAGACAATTACGGTCTTGGGGAATTGGAGAATGGAAAGAATGTACAAAACTAAGCACTGGTCGAAGCTCGTTCCAGCCAGTAGCTGTGTAAAAATGATTCCCAATCAGCGACAACGATTGTGAAAATGACACTCATTTCTTTCGTGGCGACAAAGCCAATTGGTTAGTAGAGACACAGTCTCCTGATCTTTAACAGGCTGATTGATACTCCAGCGCTCGTATTTCTTGCTGTTGAAGTGGAAACACCTGGAGCAGGCATTTTCTTCACTCACCACACGCAGTAAATTATAGCGTTGTGCTCCAAACATCTGCCCTGCAGCCCTCTCTACATTCATACTCTACTCTAATATCCTAAAATAATGGCTACGTGAGTCCCGCTGCCCTCTGTTACCGTCTAAATATGATAAACCACTACTTTCAAGCAGCTGAAAGAAAATACTATTTTGTCAATGGATTCAACCCAGGGCCAGACAGTGCAATTCCCCTCCTCTGAGGGAAAAATAAATTTACTGCAGCATATAATCACAAAGGGAGTGTGTAGGCAACAAAAGGCGGCGATCGCTCTTCTTTGAAGCGGATGTTAAAATTAAGTGCGAAGGCCATATAATGTGACAAATGAGCTAAGTGGCTGAATTACTCCAATCAACCTGATTAGGGGGTCACTGGCTTTAGACCAGGACTTGGCACACAGCATGGAGTCATTACCTGCCTATTGTGAAAGCTCTAAGCTGGCTTTATTAACAGTGTACGGGGGGTTTAACGTAGGGCAGGACTTCTTGGCTTCCCGCCTGCTATTGTTTCTGAAGGTTTGATTTTCTGTCATGGACCTACCCCACAGTGAAGAACTGCCTCATCTCTTGTCTCCGTGACCTCATCATCTGCTTGTACTCGCTGATGCGCAACTTCTTGCCGTCGATGATGCAGGTGCGCTTGGGTCTGGGTTTGTACTTGTAGTTGGGGTATTTCTCCAGGTGGATCTTGCTGAGCCGTGCCTGCTCTTCGTAATACGGTTGTTTCTCCTGGTTCGTCATAGACTTCCAGCGAGATCCTGTTAAACACAGATGAGAAGTTAGGAGTTATACATGATTATTACATTATTTATTCGTTTTTTAGACAAAGAATGAGCTTAAAGTTGCATTCAGACTACACATTATATCTGTCTGTCACAAGAGTTACTCTATCAGATCAAATGACATCAGACTATGCATTGCTTCCCCAACAATCCATTTGTTCCAAAATAAATTGTTACCCAATTCCAAAATATAAGGCAATCTGACATCACACCAATACCATTTCACCCTGTATGCCTTTTCTAATATTAGTATTTCCGTATGAAGTGTCCACTTGGACACATTAATTATCATGCCCCAAAGACCCATTATCGTTTATAAATCACCACAGCATCCTTTGTTCAATGGATAATGCCAAATCTGATTGATCATTTAAGGTCTGAATGCAGCAATTTATCTGAATTATGCTAAAGTCATCTTTGCTTTTGTGAATGAGAGAAAATTGCAACTGTTACCGTTGCTGCATTAGTGGAAACAACAGGACAGTAAATATTTCCAGCCTTCAGAACGTACAGGCTGACGGGACTTTTAGTTGCTGTGATCTATTGACTCTCTGGACTGGGGGACAAGACCCATTTAGCCCTGTCATTTTTCATGACAAACACTGCCCACGTGACAGCCACTAAATCCATCTAATTGAGCCGCTCCCGCGGGCAGCACACCATCAAGTTTAAGCGCGCTCGTCTGTTTGAGATGCATTGCATTGTGTGGAATTACTTGCAAAAGAAGATTAGGCAGGTGTGGTAATAGCCTGAACATCTTATTCACAGCAAAGGTTTAGCTATGTAATGCTGAGATGCTTGTCTATTGATTGCCAGGAGGGGAAAAACTGGCATGGCAATATCCATTTGCATAATTTGTGCAATTCAAGGTCCGGCATATTTAATGCTGGAATATCAGTCAATCATCTTAACATTCTCCCTCTCAGTTAATGCAGCAATTCAGATATTTTTAGTCTTGTACGTTTTGGTTTTGATCCAAAACAGTTAGGCAAAAACAAAACCTCCATTTACCTCATCAGTGTTTCTACTGTTCTAATTTTTACTGATTTAAGCAGTGTCTTTTTAAATGTATATGTATATTTAAATATATATATTTTATTATACTTTAGACATTTAAAAATTGTGCAAAGAAACACCTACCTGCAAGCATTTTTTTGTTTTTAAAAGATGTCTTAGGTCACGTTTACACTGTCAGGTCTTGACACCCAATTCCGAATTGTTGTCTGATTTTTTTGCCTGTTCGTTTACACGTTCTTTTAATTATGACCCATATCTACATTTTTTGCTATTTCTGCTGAGAATTTTGTAAAAAAAAATCTGCGGATTTATGCGAAATGATTTTAGAAGTATCATCACTAAATCACTAAAAACTTAATATATGAAATTAAAAATAACACATTTTTAACTTTTATTTAATGTTTATAATGCAAATGCAAGTAGATCCGCTTATTTGGTAAACAAAGCAAATCTTCTACAGTATATAACTACTTAAATACTGATAATATTACTTTAGAAACTATTGTATATAAATCATATAAACATTTTAATATTAATATTTTATTATATCACAATAATATTAGTCAAATTAATTTAAAAACTAAATAAATATAAATTTACACAAGTAATTACATAGACTTAAAAATAGGCTAAAAATTTGCAGATTTCAGTGCGCACAGATTCCGTGTGGGCCTACCCATATCCGATTTATGTATTTACACTTGCCATACAATTTATGATGTTGCGCATGCGTCAAGGTTGGTTCTAGCATCCTCGCCACACTAGCCATTGATGGAAGAAATTGTCATGCTTTTAGCTCTCATATCCCAGGTATGGTGGGAGCAAGTTGTGACGGGCTTTAACTAAACCCTCTTGTTGTTTACTGCGTTGGCGTCTTCACACAGGTTCTTCCTTCTACGTCATTAAACCGCAACCATATACCATATTGTCGCAAGATTAATGACGTACAAAATGGAATGCCTCAATAAATCCGATCTGCCTGTTTACATGATAGTCGCATTGTCACATATCCAATTTATATCTGCTTTATTTCCACATATAAAGAGGGCCTGAAACCGATCTCTGAATGTCCGAATGCATGCGTTTTTTTTTCATGTTTACAGATGCGATCTGTGTCACATATGAGCAAGAAAACTGGCAGTGTAAACAGCGCCTAATAGTCATCCATCGTCTTGGCTAAAACAAGGCTAAATTTGGACTGTCAGCGTAAATTTAATAGACGCCTAAAAATAGGCCAAAACTAAACTAGTCATCAAATAAACAGAAATGAATGACTACACATATAAAGTCTTTTTAATCTGTCTATTTGATGACTAGTCTAGTTAAAGATGTCTATTAAATTTTCACTGATGGCCCATGGTTTAGCCAACATGTCTACCTTTAGTCGTAGACACAAAATTGTTTGCTGGGCAATAATAAATTTTTAAACATTTAAATTATGATGATGCAAATGTATTTGAAATTCCTTGTTGCACATCAACAAATTTGATGTGACTTTGACTCCCAATACATTTCCCATTCCTATTTTGTGACAATTTTGGAAGCTTTGAACACATGGGATGAACATGCTGCAATTCTATAATTATACACTGCTGAGATTTATTTGGGCTAATAATTATTTCTGAAAATGAATAGAAGCTATCGACAGTCATTCTTTGACTAGACACTCCAATGAAATTAATATCAGTATGTAGAACTGTTAAAAAGATTATTAGGCAAGTGTGATCCAAAACAAGCAAAGACATTTTCAACAGTTTCTCAAGCACTCTACAATAGTTCCCTTGGCACCAGTTTAGTTTATTCTTATGAAGCGTGGCGTCATCCCAAACGAAAACGGAAAGGACAGCCATGGCTGCTGGTTGTGATTGATTTGAGGGCTTCGACTTACCCAAGATTTTGCTGATGTTGGAGTTGTGCATGTCTGGGAAGGCCTGAAGGATTTTGCGGCGCTCATCTTTGGCCCAGACCATGAAGGCGTTCATGGGCCGTTTGATGTGAGGTTCGTTGCTGTTCCTTCCCCGGGGTTCCCTGTAGACCCGTGCCTCGGTAGTGCTGGCGCCTCCTGTTGGCCAACAATAATACTGATGTGGTTTATCTGCACAGCCATTCAGTTCCCTACACCCTAGGAACACCAGAGCAAGAAGATGGAGAGAGCGGGTGCAAACCGTTAATCAACTTAGTAGTGCAGAGCATCCATCAGCACATCAGTGTGACTGGAGCTGAACCAGAAAAGCTGGGTTTGGGGATCTGAGAGGCCTTAAGCCGTACCTCACACTCCAGACTGCCCATCCCAAAATGGGAAGGGAGAAGCCCATGTTTTGGAGTGTGGAACAAGACGGCATTGTTGGTCAAAGAACTCCTGATGAGTGAAAACTAGCTCAAACCAGACATGGAGGACCCTGACTATAATGCCTTTTAAATATTTTGTCTGAGTCGCAGCGTTTGTACATTCAAGCGTCCATGCATTTCTGGGTCCGACTGTCGTAATGTTTCTCTTGCTGTAAGTAATAACGGTAATGCTCTGAATAAGAAATGTGGCATGAGGGTGTTTGTTTAAGAGAGGTAAAATAAAGGGAGAGTGCCTGAAACAACACATTTCCATGCCTAAATTGCCTAGATTGCCTAAATGTGTCAATATCCAGAGTATGACAAGGGGAAGACCAAGTGATTAAACTTTCCATGATAAGAGTAAAAAGTTTCTGCATTAAAAAATAAGATAAGAGGTTTTACACATTCACACATATATACAGTTAGTGATTGAGGCCTGGCACAAGTGTTATAAACAGACTTGAAGGAGTGCAAATTCTCAATCAGGCCATTCACAATCAGCATGTGTGTCCCCCAGTTTCTGTATTTAACTTTACAGCAGAGTGAAAATGATTCTGTTTGCATGCGCATTTGCTTCCTTTTATATGTAAGATGTGAAAGAATTAAATAAAAGCTGTATGAATATTTCAACAAACAAAAACATGTTGATAAACAAGGCTTGAAAAATAAAACAAACAAAAAAAAAGCCTTCCCATATGCTACGATACATCTTTAATGATCCAAAAACTGGATAAGAAGGCTTGGAATCAGCCATGAATATTTCATCATCCACATGTGATGTGTATTCATTAGGACCCCGAAACTTCAAGTCTTGGCACGCGCTACCTGCTTTTGATTTCTATTATCACTGGTGTTGATAAACAAAATAAAATCTCCAGCTAAGTAATGGATCTTGGCTCTGCGGGGCTGTTAAAGCACCAGGACAACAAGATGATTCTGAGGGCAGTGCGGTGTTCAGAGAAGGAGGAGCAGGAAATAGGCAATGCTGGAGAGTTACCTTCTCTGGCGCTCAAAGAGACAAAGTCTTAGTTTCAGGCAGCCAGCAGGAGGCTCTATCTTCCAGGCCCTGCTGGGCAGCACGGCTTTGCCCAGGACCCAAAATATCCATTTAGGGTACACATGTCAAGTATAACAATCATAATAATCCAGACAGTGTTGCTGTTTATCTGGCTGCCCAGCTCTACATAGTCATGGTGCATCAGTCAGGGTCTCTCTGATCTCGTCTCCACACAACTTCTTACCGCCAAACGTGCTGCAAGCAGATGCCTTGTCCCGACCCCTTCCATCGGGATTATACGGCAACGGCATTCCCCGCACAGTACATTAATTTCATTTAGCACGCGCTCACCGTGCAGGATAAATTGATTTCACTTTGTTTGCCTTTGACAGCCATGTTTATTGTGCAATGAAATGTAGTGTGGCGTAGGGCTGACAGTATCCATCAACGCTGGGCAATCTGCTGACTGCCGGGGCCAGATGAAGGCATTCATTACCTTGCCAACGCTCGCTCGGCTACCTCGCCCAGACACGACCGCCACTGTCTGTTCAGGGAGAGGGGGGGATGGCCGGCTCTAATTTACGATTCGCCCCGTGCCATTACTTCACCACTGACACTGATTCAGCAATTTATATACTGGCATGCATGCAGATATAGACAGAGGTGAGCAGCTTACATGCAGCAAACCAGCAGCTGGACTTTTAAATTGCAGATCGGATCCATTTTTTCTGTTTCCAGAGGGCGAGAGGGACCAGGGCTGGTTGTAATAATCATCTCATGCCCTGTTGTTGCTGTAGTGCGTCAGCAGACACAGACTCAGCGCTCTCAGTCATTTGAGCAGACCGCAGGAATGAGCGCCGACGACTGAGAGAGTGGCGGTGCTCTGCGGGACGAGACAAGCGGCGGCCCCTGGCACAGAGCCCCGCTTGCAGACACGGGTGGTCTGTACCCCCCCCACCCCACTGCAATCATGATGTGCCTTAATCAAAAGCAGCCAAAGAGTTGGCAGCGAGGTCGGCTCGCGCGACGTCACCCCACATCCACAACATGCAATTTACAACCCTCTGCTTTTTTCCCTCTTGCTTGTTGTTGTTTAATAAGAAAGCTTACATGCCTCTGACATTTACAAATTAGCATTAATTGACGTTTTCTCCCCCTGTGCGGCTCTTTTAGGAAGCACCTAGTTAGGTGTGTTATTGTGTAAATAAATGCAGATGTTTCGGGATGCCACGGGAGACCCCCCGAGGTGTGAGAGGGTGGTGGGGGGGTGAGACGGCAGGAGGCTTCTAATCGACTTTATTGTGATTTATGAGACCCAGTGCCCAACATGACAGAGCGATACAAGAATCTCCATTTAATTTGTCTCTCCCGGTGAACAGGAGGGAGAGCGGAGGGGGACTGTATGAATTACAGAGAAAGAGAGAGAGAGCGCTCGCGTGGAGGTGTGTGAGCGAAGGGGCCCCGCGGCCCGGCGCACCTGCCTGCAGCAGGCCCAGACTCGATGCTACGCGGAACGGAGCCAAAAGGCTGAGCCTCTCAGGCTCTCGCTGCAGCCAGCCTTTTGTTCTGAGGGCACACACAGACTGTCACACAAGAATCCGCTCGGAGAAACAAGCAACAATCACGCAAACCTGCCAGGCCCTCTGTGGATTATCCAATAAAGAAAGAGACGCCTTTCCGCAAAGGTATTCAGCACTAACAATGGGAGTCTCTGCTAACGCGCACAGGCAGATATGACACAATACTACACACTCCCATTCATGTCTGCACTCATATTGTGCTAATTAAACCATTATAACTTACACGTGATATAAGCCCACCACTTTAACATGCCAATTGTTGGATTGCACCCAGCTGGATTTTTGGAATTTTGCTCTCTGTGCACAAGTGTTTATATGGACAAAAGCACAACATGCTAGCGCACGTTTCGTTAAGCTATTGTTTCTCATACATCTCGCCCTGGATGTTGCAAGGTTTTAAAGAGGGCCATGCTAAATTCCTTTTCCAAGAGACCTGGCATGCAGACTACACAGACAGTAAAATACGATAAAGGACGGACAGTGGGAACATTGGCAAAAATTAAGACATACTTAAAAATGATATTCTTTTACAGACATAAAAATCTGTTATTGTAATCAAATGAATTTTTCACTTTATTTTTTTATTTACTACCAACCAGTCAAATGTCTGACAACCATCAGCTAGTTCAAGGTATGATTACTATTATTTAAGAGAGATAAAGAGAAATCATCTGAAGAACTTCATCAAAAAATGATGATCGAGACATAAGTCCTAAAAATTAGGTTTTCATAAAAAAAAAAATTAAGCAGCCCAACTGTCTTTAGCTGTGATGATAATATGAATTATTCTGGAATAGGATAAAAAAAATTGTATTATAATAAGATAATACAAATATTTTGAATCACAAAATTAGCTTGTTTTCACAAAAAAACATATATTAAAATATATTAAGGTTATTCAAAATTATACAAATATTTGAAAATATTATTTTTGATCAAATAAATACTCCCTTGACATATAATATACACATTCTGTTATTTTATTGTTAACATAACATGATGCGATTTATTATGCTAACATGATCGTCTAATACACAGAAATGTCTGATTGAGCTTTTGTTTCCTTTGCTATGACTTCAGTGAACCTCTGATTGCTCCTCTACAATAATTCAGTGATAACCTTACCACAATTTAACCATACGCATAAATACTACAGCATTAGCATAGCTCAGAGATTACAGAGTCAAGCAGTTAATCAATCCTGGCTGGCTTTATTTCGGCCAGCATTGTCTTAAAAGTGTGCCGATATTACCTAGACTTCCTGCCCCAGGAATCTCTCAACACACCCTTTGTTCTGCTAAGACCCCCGTCTGACAGAGACAGTTTAAACACACGCACGACCCAGCCCGTTCGGCAAACAAAACTCATACTCTGCCACATGTGAATGAACAAAGGGGCCATACTAAAGCCTTTTGTGGTATTAGTTAATGTTTTTCATCTGAGCTTAAAAAGACCTAATGACTTTGTGGTGAGCTGATGCATGTGGCTCGTGGCTTTTTGCGAAATGAAGGAAATTCTATCTATTTCCATACCCCGCCGTTATTTTCCAACGGCCTCTCTTTCTCGTTAGAGCTTTGGCAGCTGTTAATTTGGTTGCTGCATGCTTCGCAAATATTAGTTCAAGCAACCTAAAGCTTTCTACGAGTTGCAGCCGTGACAGAGAGCTGTTTTACACCCCGAGCCTTCACCAATATAACGCATCTTTTCAGCAGGCAGGACCTCCGTATACGGAAGAACGCCGTTGCAGACCCACTCAGTAATTTTCCTCTGCTCTCGATGGCAGTTACTGTACGAGTCTGTTTGCCCTGTTAAAGTGTCAAGAAATTTAATTCTCAAATGGTAGTTTCCCACTCAGCTGATAAATCATTTAAAGTGCATTAGAAAAATAGCTGGCTTTATTGACGAAGCCCCAAAGCTTGTGAACAAAACCGGCACAATAAAACAAAGACTAGAGGCAAATAAACAGAATAAAAATGATGAGGGGTTGCTTTTTGTAAACGCATAGGTATCACATACACAGCGCTTGCATTCCTCAAATGTTCAGGGAGAGGAATGGAATTTGTTTCAAAAAAAGGCTCTAAACACACAAATACACAAGTAAACACTTCATGTTTCCCAACGGGTAAACACATTCTGCTTGTAAAAGAGACTATTTAATGTGGGGCGTATCATCATAAAATGCCGTTCACATCTTTCATCTCGATGTGTTTGTGGGAAGATGGAGATGCGGATGGCTCTGAGCACTCACAGTGGCGCCTGTCCACTGGGAAGAGAAACCTCTGCGGCCTTCTAATCCTGTCTGTACTGGGAATAAACTGATGGGACTATTCCTTCACCTCCACTTAGGATTAAAAAGGAAGTGTGACTGGGTGCCCTCAGCCTTGCTCCGGAGCCCACAGGAGATGTGTTCCCACCGTGTTGGAGGACCCAGCTTTCTCACTTATCTTAGATGGGGTGGGACAGTCTTCTTGGCGGGGAATCTGCTCGAGTCTGGTCAGAGCAGACCCTGCCAGACCAGAAAAACTGCATCCCTAAACCTCTATTTACAGATTTGAGTTCTACCCAGCCAAAATAAATAATTTATGCTTTAGAAAGCTCATAAACAAACAGAGCTATGCAAAGCTGATCATCTTACAAGAAACAGATCTATTGTGAATGGGAAATTCTTTTTCAAGCCTTATTGTTTAAACAACAATAAAAAAAGATAACACCTATCATTAAAATGTTTTATTTTTACTTGCATATCTTGGCTATAGAGTTCTATGGAAACTATTTGATTTTTTACATGGGAAAATCATTGGTGCATACAGTGTAAGCACCCTGTTTATGAACACAGTAACAAAAGAAGTTGACGCCTTGCCGTGTAAGTTCTATCAGCATTGACACCTCCACACCCAACACATCAAACAAGAGCTTTGGCAACACATGGAAGAGGGCCAGCATTGTTTCTATGCTTTGTCATCAAGAACTGGCTGTGGAAAACTTTGAATACAACCAGCCTGACACTGGCCAAGCTATTGTGGAATCCTGTCTATCTGATCACCTTATCGAACTGTACCTGACCTCATTTCTCACTGTGGTCAAAGAGAAAGTAGCATTATGTCACTGTCAAATGGAAACTTTCCAAATCTGCTACTTTTCAGGAAATGTGACAAAATAATGAAGCAATGAATTCTCAAATTTGTCACTTTTAAATTGAGAGTGATGTTTAGAAACATCCCAGTATAAGCATAACATCAGATTGATGTTGTATCTCAACGTCGTGGGAATGTTGCATTTTGTTTAGAAATGAAAATCAGGTTGACGTCAGAACCCAACATCAGGCTGATGTCATTGTTTGGCGTTCAACCTAAAATCAACGTCTAATGACATTACTGCTTGACGTTGTGTGGATGTTACCACTATGATGTCTATCAGACGTTGGATTTTGGTTGCCATACCTGACGAATAAATGTCAGTATTTGACGTCACTATGACGTTGGTTTAAGATGTCGGGTCGACATTGTATTTTAGTCACTTTCAAACACAATTTAAAATCTACCAAACATCGGCATCATTTGACATCGTTATTGGACGTTGAAATAAACTTGTTCTTAGATGCTGGCTAGACATGGAATTTTGGTCACTTGACATCACGACCTAAATCTAACCTAATATTAATGTCTTATGACATTGTGTGCTTGCTAAGATGGCAATGCTTTCCGAGGGTGTAAAGAAGGAAACAGAATTTTGTGAGCAACCATGCGTGACACAAACAAAGTGATACTTACCCTCAAAGTCTTCTGGCCTGGTGAGGTCAATGACTCTATGACCAATCTTTCCATCTTCACCAAGTTTGCTCAAGTGATGACCCAGATTGTCATAATGAGACCTCTCCTGCAAAGCATAAAAGAAAAGTTTCTTTTTAGATAGTGCAAGCCATATTCCATTCAGTTCATGTTTAATTCTATAGCACTTTTACAATGTAGATTGTGTGTGTCAAAACAGCTTAACATAGTTCTAGTAAAGTCCAGATTTCAGTGTTGAAGTTCAGTTTAGTTCAGTTCAGTGTGGATTATTTTCACTGCTGAAAGTCCAAACATTGAAGAGCAAATCCATTGATGCTCAGCTCCTCAAGTCCCGATCCAAGCAAGCCAGTGGTGACAGTGGTGAGGAAAAAACTTCACCAGCTGACGAAATGAAGGGAAAAAAAACTCTTGTGTTCGAGATCCTCACGAAGAACTGCTTCGCCTCCCTCTATGAGACGGATCGCGATGTTCCATCCGTGCTGCTTCCACTAAAGGTAACAATGTACGCACTCACTGCTTTCCCTGTGCTCATGTTAAGGATGTTTCTGGTAAGGTTGAATGACACCAGGCTACTGCAGATGGAGATCCTGAAGAGGGACTCAATGCACCTCGCCCGCCACGCAGATAATCGTTTCTGGATCACTTACTACTTATGTATTTAAAAGTTTGATAGAAAAAATTGCATTTATGTCTCCATGTTGTCTACGTTAAAAATTGGTGCAGCTACTATAAAATTAAATTAATAAAAGCAATACTAAGAATGGTAGGAGACACACATGGAAACAAACAAACCAAAAAAAAACAAACAGATTCCATTCAGTACTGCAAGGCGCACAAACGTGCGCATTTGGCAGGCCCATGTCAAGTCATTTTTATCACAGCTGTAGTCTCTTACTGTCTTCATCTGCAGGGACTTGTACCGATAAGAGTGTGGAACACTCTGCTAAAAAGGATTTAGAAACAACACACTGAAAGATCCTGAGCACACAATGCAGCCTGGGACCTCTAGTGAAACGTTCAGCTTTTTTTTCTTTTCTTTTGCGCTCTCTAATCTTTGCAGTACATGCCCCTGTCTCCGCTGCCCTGAGCTCCCTGTCTATCATTTATTCAAGGCTCATGCTCGGAGGAACATGCCGTGTTTTCCCTTTTGTCGTGTTGCTTTCTGTTCATATTAAACTTGGCATCATGTCGCACTTGATGCACAATAAACCCCTGTCATTCTTCGCCGGTGCGACAATATTAAATGTCATGTCCGTGTGCATTTACAGAATAAAATAACAGCTTTTGGGGGGCCCTCCTGAATGGTTGCAGCACATTAGACTTAATGTATTATGCAGAGGAAGAGGGCCGACCGCTGCTCGGGCCCATTGTTAAATGACCTAGTTCTGCCGTGAGTGCGGCTGGGCATTAGCGGAGGCCCGTCTCACTCTCTCTAAAGACTCAAGGAGGAGATGGACACTTTGACTCGGCATGATACAAGTAATCTCTCCCCCCTCCGAACAAGACAGGAAGATGCTAAAAGCAAAGCGTGTTACGGTGAGTTGGCCCCAAAGCGTTTGTTCTTCTCCCAGGGTGTGCATTCAATCTCAGGCAAAAGGTGTACTTGAATTGTCTTTTCTTTAGAGAATGCCTATCACACACGGTTTGAACAGACACTCGGGCGGCCTCCCAACACAATGCTAACAGCTCCCTTGCCACAGACGCAGACACAGATACCGACGTACACATTAATCTTTCAGCCGCGCTGCTTTGGCCGTTTTGCTCGTTTGTTTGTTTTCTGTTCTTTTTTGCCACTGGGGAGCCCATGGAGCGTGGAGGCTCTTCACACGGCAAGCTCATCACTCCAGCTCAACTTGTCAATAGCACATGACAATAGTGGATTAGTTGGGATGATTCTGTGCTTATTGCTGTTGTCACTTGAAACAGACTTTATTATCACTAAGGGGCAAATTCACTAAACAGTTCAGGCACGTTCGCGTTAGGTATTTCAGCATGAAAGCCTCTATCAAGTTCGCTAACCACCTGCAACCTGCTTCTGAATGCACTTAACTAGCCTTGTAAATGTTTTCATTTTGTGTCATTCTGAAATTTGGGCTCAGTAAGAAATGTATTTATCCATTGGTTGACTTTTATTCAGTAGGAATGCATTAAATTGATCAAAAGTTAAAGCAACAGCATTTATAATGTTAAAATAGATAAATGTTATACTTCATATTTTTGAGCCTGCAAAAATGTATTATTTTGATGAAATTTTAACCACTATAACTGCTAACAGCAATAATACTAAGAAATGTGTTTAAGCAATACAATTAAGCATAAAAAGCCTAAAAAGTTAAAAAAAAAAAAAAAAAAAAACGGAAAACATTTAAACAGTAGTGTGCATTATAAAGAAAATTTAATGCTTTGTTCAAAACGGTTTAAAACAGCTTGGGTCATTGATTTGAATGAAAAAGTGGCTGATAAGATCTGGGAAGAAGCCCTGTCTAGAATAAAGAAAGGTTGGATAAAATTGAGACATAAATTATTCCAATTTAAAGGTTTACATTGCCTTTACTTCTCTAAATCTAGATTAAGTAAAATAGCTTTCTCTGTGGGGCATCACGGTGGCGCAGTGGGTAGCACGATCGCCTCACAGCAAGAAGGTCACTGGTTCAAGCCTCGGCTAGGTCAGTTGGCATTTCTGTGTGGAGTTTAGATGTTCTCCCCATGTTCGCGTGGGTTTCCTCCAGGTGCTCCAGTTTCCCCCACAAGTCCAAAGACATGCTGTGCAGGTGATGTGGGTAAGCTAAATTGGCCGTAGTGCATGAGTGTGAATAAATGATGAAGGGACTCTGGCACATATATTTTGGTTTTGTCCTGTTCTTTATAAGTTTTAGACCAACAATTGTTTTCCAGTCGTTGTAGAACAAATATCCAACCTGACTACAATTTGGCTATTTTTGGATATTCTAATATAATGGACACCTTTCCGTTAACCTAACAGCAAGCCCTGATGGTTGGCATGATTACAGCTAAAAAGATGATCTTACTTAATTGGAAATCTCCAAAGGCTCACTGTTATAAGAAATGGTTGAACGAGTTGCTGTCAAATGGAACAACCACGTCTTGAAACACAGAAAAAAGCTAAAACCACATGGGGACCTTAAGACTCTTGGAAATTTATCGTTTTAGGTTTGTAAATCTTTATTTCTAACCTATATGATTACGACACTGGCTTTGTAAAAATGTAATGTCATCTCTTGTTTGTATGTTTATGCTACGTTTGTTTGCTACGTATGCTACGTGTGTGTGTGTGTGTGTGTGTGTGTGTATATATATATATATATATATATATATGTATATATATATATATATATATATATATATATATATATATATATATATATATACATAGTAACAAAGACGATCCATTCTTTTATTATTGGGGTGAGGTTGGGGTTTAGTCAATTGTTCTGTACTATTTTTTTTCTTTTTATTGGTATTGTACTGTTTTGTTAAATATCTTATAAATGTTAAATAAAACCAAAAAAAAATAATAATAATTGCCCTTTTATTTAAATGTATCTTTAACTTTCCACTTCATCCAAATATAAAAACAAGCATCAGTTACCTACCTTTTTTTTTCTTAGAGAACGAATATTGTTACTCCAAAAACATGGCACAGGCATCAAAGGGGCAGAAAGAAGCGCTGTTAAGAGAAAGTACTGCAATTTCCCACCACCACGCTTGATGGAACAATCATTATTTATGACCAACTGAGTGATTCTGATGTACAATTAACCACTACCTGCTTATGGCCTGTCATTAAGGGCTGCCCGTCTTGACTCTGCCTTGCTTATTTAAGTGTTTTCTAATTATGACATATGTAGCAGTCCCCGCTGGGCCCAGGCGGCTTTGTAAAGATAAGTTGTAGAGCTAGCTTGGTGTGCCATGCTCCGTGTGAAGCCTCCTACGCTTGCTGTATTCATCACCAGAGCGCATTATTGCACTTAATGAAAGAGAGCGCAGCACCCAATGACAAATTGACTGATGTGCGATTAGTCGCACGAGCGATAGCCGATGCGCTATGGACTGTCCACTGGGGAAGGGCCCAACAACTGCAGTGTGTGTGCATTTGTGTTTATGGTGGAGGAGGGGTGGGGGGTTATAAATTACTTGTAGTGTCATCCCTTCTCCCCGCTCAGCTGGCTCTCTCTGATCAATCATCTCCTTTTATAAAGTCATGATCATTAAACATCAGTTTGGGGAACAAGGAGCATTCATCACAGAGTTTCATTAAATACTGTTTAGGCGCTAAACTTACTCATTTTCCAGGGCAATAATTAAAGAATGACCCGGAGGAGAGCTATTGTACATGAAAATGAGATTAGACACTTCAGTGTCTAGGGTCTAACTTAATGGAGTGAGGTAAAGAGCTCATTCATGCCTAGGAAGCGTTGATATCCACTGGAGACAGTGACACTGTTTACAGTGCACATTAGGAGTCTGTAATTGAGAAAGTGAATAAGAACATAAAACTTCAAACAGCGCACAATGGATTTCCATTAAATTTTATATACTATGTTTTATATACCTATAGGTTGTAACTTGGGTAATTTATATGTCACAGCATTAGGTACAAATTATTGAGAGAAATAATTTATATGCATAACACCACGCTTTTTGTTTGAAGACATGAACAAGAAAGCGGTCTAAAGCATCTTTACTACTGTCTGCATCAAGCGCTGTGATAAATCAATGGCATTTTTATTATTTTATGGTGTCATTAAATTTTTACTGATCACTTTACCACAGAAGAGCAGTAAAGGGTGTGTACCATCCTGAGCAAAAGGGCCCGTCCAGTGCTCACCAGCAGATTTCCGAGACCATTGTGCTATAAAGGATATTTATAATGTGCATTACGGCAGCGAGATGGCAAAAGCCACGAATCTCCGCAAGTACAGAGAGAAGGAGAAAGGGCGGTTAGGGAGATGAAAAATAAGGAAACAATAGAAAAAAGAAAAGATGTCATGGTACACGTTGTGCCCCTCCCATGCTAACCACGACCTCTCTGGCGCACGACTGGCCCTTCCCTCAAATGAGTTCAGC